TAAGCTCTGCAGGAGAAAGGGAGCATTCGAATTGTCAGGTGTGACCAGAGCCACCAGAAGTGCAGCTGAGAGAGACTTCTGGAGGCTAATTATTTCAAAATAGCAGCAGCTGAACAGCCACACTCATGCTATTTCAAAATAAGCGTTGCTCCTCATGAAAAGCTGGAATTATTTCAAAATAACCAACCCATTATTTCAAAATAATGGGCTTGGTAGCGTGGACTGCTTGTTATTTTGTAATAAGGGGAGTTATTTTGAATTAACTCCCCAGTGTAGGACAGGGTTAAGAGGTGAAATGCCATTCTTAGAAGGACCCACATTTTCTTTTCCTGCTTGTTCAAAGGTTTCCCACCTCTAGCTGCAGTGAGGCATTGTACTTTTAATTCTAAGAACAGATTAACACTATTGTTAAATTAGTTGATGTACTGTGAAATGAGTCAGTTTAATGGCCTTTCATATGAGGTTACAACAGCTCATCATGCAACTTTAGAAAAAATTAAGACCACCCGATTGCTGAGAACAACTCTGGTTATAGCTGATATGTCCTAATTTTCATTTTAAGTCAAGTCTGAATACCAGGTGGACAAGTTAAGCATTTTCCATTTCAAAGATCTTGTCAGCATATTTTTTGTATCTTTCAAAAGCATTTACTTTTTAATATGCAACTTACTGTAACTGAGGAGCTACTCTATGTCTACACAGCATGGTGAAAGGAAAACTAAGAATATTTTAATGTTAAGTGGCAGTACATAACGTACATCTTCAGTTATAGGTATCCTATTGCTTAGAACACACCCGTCACTGCAGTACCTGATGGCATAAATTACAAATTAAATGTATGTCTTCTTTACAAGAGACATAATTATTTAATATTTAAGACCTTATATTAGTGAAAGACTACAGACTACCAGGTAAAAGACTAACAAGCACATTCTGACTGGAACTATGAGAAATGCTAAGCTGCTTATTTTCTTTCCTGTACGTTCAGTTTCTTTTGGGGACTGCACAACATTTTAAAATGTATACATGACTAACTCGCTACTCAAGAAAGAGGTCAAGCCTTTGGGTCAACACTTTGTCTGCAAGCACTGAAATACGTTTGAAATTTGTTATCAGCTGCTGGACCTGACACAAGATTGCATTCTTAGCCTGATATTTTGAATTTCAATTACAACCATTGAAAATTTTGAAATACAATGCTACAGTGACTTGCAAAGACTTGTATAAGATCATTAGCTAGCAAAATAGCGTAAGGGTAGGCATCAGTCTGCAACTATCAGAATCTACTGTGATTAACCTAATAGTATTTAGTAAAAAAACATCCAGTTATACTATGAAATACAAAATATACTTATTTTATTTTAGGTAATATACATGCAGTCTTATGCAAAAATGGAAAAAGCTACTGCCTTACTAAAGAACACAGCACTTCTAATTCAAAGGAAGCAGACCGTATACTTCAGACTGGTGGAAACATCAGTCCAAATGAACCAAAAGGACTAGTCGAAGGACTCATCAGAACTACCCGTGGCCTTGGACATCATGGAGATCCAAAATTGAAAAAAATGGTTATTCCTGTACCTCATACTGTATCTGTCCCTATAGATGATTCATGTCAATTCCTTATTTTAGCTTCAAATGGGCTTTGGGAAGTTCTGGATAAAAATGAAGTGGTAATATTAACATTAAGAATGTTCACATCTTATTTGAAAATGCATACCCAATTAGAAGAGATTGCTATGCACAAACATCAGTATTCAATAGTTCCCTATGAAGATTATTTATGTAGTTTAATGGATATCAATGACTTAAAAGGTGAAATCCAATTATGGTATATCAATAAAGATGCTTTCCTTCAGAATCAATATGAAGGCAGTCTGAAACAAAATAATACAAAGGAATGCTCATGTAAGAGAAGAGATTCACTAAATGAAAACAGGATAGAGCCAGGCTCTAGCAGAGAGAGTTCTGAAGAAGTGCAGCAGTTAGATGATCATGTAGAACAAGCCGATATCAAAGCTTGTTTGTCTAATAATCATAGAACCGGTTCACAACACACAGAAATAATCCAGTCAGTCTCTGGCAGTCAAAGTTCTGAAGAAGTGAAACAGTTTGACAATAATGCAAAAGCATATATATCTAATAACTGTGGATCAGTGTCAAAAATTACCAGCAAAGGAGAAATAAATTCTGCGACATTTTATGATAGTGCAGCAAATTACATTAGTGAACAACTTGTAAAGACTGCCTTAGCAGCAGGTTCTCGAGATAATATTACTATTTTGGTTGCACTTCTAAATGGATGCGACAAGATACCTAATTATGTTCAAAATGTGCAATGTACTTAACAGAGTGCATATAATATAACCTAGATTTAGACAAGTCAAGTTACACATCCTAGAACACCATCTTTACCTTATCAACCTACTTGTTTGTAACCTGTGTTAAAGCATTAACTGCTAAAATGCAATAAAGGTTTCTTGTTGAATTCATGGCAAGAATAATCACAATGCTTTCCTGTTTTATAACCACTTTATTCAAACCTGAGCACCTCAATATAAAACTAAACACTGGTGAACTGTCATTTTCCTTGCTAAGCCCAAATTACTGCAAATTTACAATCTGCACAAGTTTTTGCGAGCAGTTCAACATTTAAATAGATTAAATTGTCTCTTCTGACACACTTGGTAAATTTCATATAATGAAAATAACAAAGAATTAGTGCAATATACTGGACAGATCAAAATAAAATGGACTTTGGAAAACAAGGTTGCAGAGTTCATTACTGACAGACAGCAGTACTTATGTTACAGGTACAGGAGCATCAGTTATTACTGTTCTAACCATAAAGGAAGAACTTAGAACCCCTTTAAAGCAGGGAAAAAGAAAAGTTAGCTTTAAGTAACTGTACATTTTGGATACTTTTAAGCAACTCTTAAATATTACAGAAAGTATTAAACAAATGTAGACTACAATGCAGTACCCTATTTACAGTACATTAATATCCAAATTTAAAATCAAGTTGAATGTACATAATTATTAGTGCACTGACTTATTTCCTTTGGGGAAAAACATAAGAAACTGTCTAATGGTCAGCAATGATCAAAAACAAAAAAAATCACAGACACCTAGTTTGTCTTTGTTTTACTTGGAGAGCTCTTATGGTTTGTGAACAAAAATCCTGTAAAGTTGAATTCATTGGTTTGTGCCTTTATAAACAGATAAATATGGAGTTAAACTTGATTTTTAATTACTATTTTCTTTAAACCACTGGGCTGACTATAATTTACATACAGTGTAACAACTAAAATCCATTTTTCTGCAAGCATTGGGGTTTTAAAATTGTTAATGCTGCAAGTACTGTTTGCAGTTAAATTATTAAAATGTGGAATGCATATTTAAATGGTAGGTACTTGCAGAAACAATTGGTTGCATGAATACTGCAAATAAGCTTAAAGTATCGTTAGACCCTGTTTCTAGAAAGATTTTTTTTAAAAGCACAAATTGAAGAGTCCCAGTTCTATCAATTACAACAGTAACCAATATCTGGATATAGAGGAACTAGCTAGTTAGATCAATACATGTAATTCTTCTATATCCCTAATGGCAAGTGATTTTTAAAAACTTTCAACTGAAGCAAGTTTATTCAGCTTCCACTTCCCTTCTATTGCTGATATAATTACAGCCAGTGATACATGCATGTTAAAAATTAAGATTAAAAACAAAATAATTCTGTATTAGAAACCTGACTATGTCATTAGTCTCTGTTTTGGAAGCTGCACTGGACCAGATTAAACACTCCAATTCCATTATTATTAACAGTTAGGAAGCAGAATATTCAAGACAGTTTAAAGCAACTGAAGGTTTAGTTACTACAACATTGACCCTTGGGTGGTTGTGTGGGTTCAGTTAGGTCTACTCCTCTTCCTCTGGCAGAGTTAGCTCCTGCATTCTGTGGTTCACTCTTTGGCAGCTTTTTAGCTATAAGATTAACAAGAAAAATGAGCAAAGATAAGAATCAGGACTGTACTAAGTTTTAAATATCTATTGAGTCCAAGAAAGTTATCTGAATATTTCCTTTTAAGATATATAGCAATAAAACAGTAACTCCACACTCCCCTCCCTTTTTCTCTCTCTCCCCCTCCCCTATTTATTTCGAGCTTTCATATCCCCAACTCAACTCTGGTCATCTGAAGAAGTGGGCTGTGCCCACAAAATCTCATGATACCATCTACATGTTTCGTTAGTCTATGAAGTGCTACCAGACCATTTGTTATTTTTTTTCCTGTAACAGACTAACTCGGCTACCCCCTGAAGCTCCACAATCAGAGAATGTCATTCAGAAAATGTTTGAATAAGACCATTTGTTATCATCATCTTAGAATCCACAGCTTCCTGAATAGCTATGACAAACCCCTCTCCATCTTTGAAAGCAGAGAAAAATATAGTCAGGATTGCCTAGCAACAGAAGTTGGGCTCTAATCTTGCAACTTATTCCTTGGGAGACCACCTCAATGAATGTCTTCAATATGGGTCCACCTATAAGGAACAAATTTTAAGATCATGGCCTTAAGTTAGTGCTAGTGTTTCTAAACCATGTACAGTAAAACTCCATTAGTCTGGCAATCCTGATGGTCCGGCACCATCAGGAACCCGGAAGTGCTGGGGCAGCCAGACAGGCTTCCCCCATTCAGCTGCTGCTGAAGCTGACCAGCAGCTGAATCGGGGACACCTGGGGCAGAGCAGCTGGAGTGCTGCCGGGTTGGTCTTGTAGCGCCGCCCCTCGGCACTGCGGGACCAACCCGGCAGCACTCCAGCTGCTCTGCCCCAGGCGTCCGGATTCAGCCTGCTGGTGAAACTGACGCTGCTGGTCAGTTTCAGCAGTGGCTGAATGCCGACGCCTGGGGCAAAGCAGCTGGGGTGCTGCGGGGTTGGTCCCATAGCGCCGCCCCTCGGCACTGCGGGACCAACCCGGCAGCACTCCAGCTGCTCTGCCCCAGGCGTCCGGATTCAGCCTGCTGGTGAAACTGACGCTGCTGGTCAGTTTCAGCAGTGGCTGAATGCCGACGCCTGGGGCAAAGCAGCTGGGGTGCTGCGGGGTTGGTCCCATAGCGCCGCCCCTCGGCACTGCGGGACCAACCCGGCAGCACTCCAGCTGCTCTGCCCCAGGCGTCCGGATTCAGCCTGCTGGTGAAACTGACGCTGCTGGTCAGTTTCAGCAGTGGCTGAATGCCGACGCCTGGGGCAAAGCAGCTGGGGTGCTGCGGGGTTGGTCCCATAGCGCCGCCCCTCGGCACTGCGGGACCAACCCGGCAGCACTCCAGCTGCTCTGCCCCAGGCGTCCCCAAGAGCAGCTGAGGTGCTGCTGGGTTGGTCCCGCAGCCCCGAGGGGCAGCGCTACGGGACCAACCGGGCAGTACCCCAGCTGCTCTATTGCAGGCATCCCCGATTCAGCTGCTGCTGAAACTCACCAGCAGCAGCTGAATCAGGGACGCATGGGGCAGAGCCGGACGATCGTAAGGGGGGGCTATGAGGGGTCTGGAGTGGGGTGGGAGGGGATGCCACCCCAGACCCCTCATAGCCCCCCCTTCTGATAGTCCGGCATATCTGATAATCCGGCACCCCCTGGGTCCTAAAGGTGCTGGATTATCAGAAGTTTACTGTATATTGCTCTGGCAAGTGAACGGTTGAGGAAAAATCCAAAAAAACTACAGAAAAAGGAAATGAAAACAACATACATGCAGAGCATGGTCATAGAATTACCATGTCCTTTCCCCCCTTCATAAACTCGATCATCTATCTACAACTAGAAGACTTACCCAGCATTGCCTGGGTTGGACCTGGGGACGGAGGCCATGCAAGCCTCCCGCCTGCGCTCTCTGGGCCCAGGGGAGGGGGAGCAGGTTTAGTGCAGGCCTCCCGTCACTGGTGGGTCTTGGGGGAACAAGGGTTGTACTGCCTGGCCCCAGCAGTGTTCGAGTGGGGGGAGGGGAGAGGAGAGGAGAGGAGGGGGAACGACAGTGGAGCTAGCGGGGCTTCCCCCTCCTAGGTCAGTAGTGGGGCCTGAGAGGTTTGGGGTAGGAATGTTAAATTTAGATTAATCAACTAATCAAATAGTCGGAATTTCCATCAACTGCTTGATTAGTCGATAAGGGTGCCTCTGCCTTTGAAATGTAGCAAGAGACAGCAGGGCTCTTGCTACTTTTCAATGCAGATGCGTGGTGGAAGTGCTGTCAGTTCCCTGTTGCTCCCCGTACTTTTCCCCCTTCCCCGAGACGGTGCTGGGGGAGAACTGGCTCCTGCCCCCGCCCCCCGCTTTGCTGCCTTTCTGATAGAAGTGACTAGTCGAGTCACTAGTCGACTGTCCAATAAGCATATGCTAGTCACTTCCATCCCTAATTTGGAGCAGGGAGCCACTTATGTGGGCCAGTGACAAGCAACATGGAGAGCCTTGCTTTAAGTTAGGGGAAGAGGAAGCTGCATACCAAATGTGGTGGACCTAGTTCTTAGCATTTAGGTGGAGTTCCTGAATAAATGGACTTGAAGACAGACTTAGAGGCAGATGCACAAATCTATAATATATATAGACAGACAGGTATAGATATGTATTTGTTTTGTATGTATGCAATGGTCGTCTGATCTTATCCTAGTTATTCATCGGTCATTGAACTGCATGTTCCCTGTAGGGCTGATTTAAATAACCACTAATGGGTCCTTTGCGTTTATTTAGACCACCCACCCCTCTGTAACCCTAGACAAAAGCAGGAAAAAACTGCAGCCAGTCAGAACTTTATGACATTATTTCAAGATATGCAGTAGCTCCTACCAATTTGCTGCTAGAATAAGGTCAGTTGTTGCTACAGAGAAGGAGGAGTGGCAAGGATTTTCAAAAGGCTACCTGGTGCTTGCTGTAGGGAGCCCCTGTCCTAACCATATTCTCAAATACTAAGTTTTCTCCGCATGAGTACTCTGAACACGAGTACTACTGTTGGTTAACAAAGACGCAAGAGACTGAATTTCTCCTAAAGGATTCAAACATGAAGTATGAATGGGATATATGAAAAAAAAATCTGTCACCACTCAGAAGCAGCTCCATAATATGGAGGGGGGAGAGAGAGGACGGATGCGATGCTCATGTTCACCATTGGGGGCAGCAAGAACAAAGGAGAGCTAGTCTGCAGAGTGACCACTGGGAGCATCTGCAACACCAAGTAAGTGGCCAGTTGAGGATGAGGCTTCACCATCTTGCCTGCCACGGGTAAGTGGCTTCCCTAGCTAAAACCTCTTTCGTCATCGACATCCCAGGAGCATCACTGGGCTGGCCAGCCCAGGCCAGGCCACCAGCCCACACATACTCCAGGCCGGGCCCAGGGAGCGCCAGCCTGAGGAGGCTTATGCAGCCCGTGTCCCATGCCAGCAGGTAGGGTTGCCAGGTGTCCGGTATCCTTCCGGACAGTCCGGTATTTGAGCCCTCTGCCTGGTTAAAAAAAATAAATCATACAAAAAAAAAAAAATCAGGGATTTGGGGCAAAAATTTGTTTGGGATGGTATTTGGTCTTGCTGTGAAGGAAGGGGACTGGACTCTATGACCCTTCAAGGTCCCTTCCAGCTCTAGGAGATAATAATAATTAATGGAGATTGCCTATTAGAATCCTGGCGGGGGGAGTGGCTGGGAGTTCCAGCCATTCCCCTCCTCCCCACCAAGCTTCTGTGCAATCAGAGGATCCCAGGAGGCGGGGTTGTGATCGCCGCTTATACCACATTCCCCCCCCCCCCCTTTTTTTTGCTCGACCAAAAAAAATATCAGGTGACCGGTATTTTTTGGGAGACCATCTGGCAACCCTACCAGCAGGAGAGGCCTTCATGGCTCTCTTTTGCCCCCCAGACTGGGCCTACGGAGCGCTGACCCAGAGGAGGCCTGTATGGCGCCAACTAGCAGCCTAGGCCCCCAACCCCTAATCCTGCCCCCCATGCCAAGCACCACGCCAACCCCACCAACCCTGATCACCGGCCAGTCCGGGATGCGCCATTGAATTGGAAGGCCTGCATGGTCCTCTTCCTCTTCCCTTGGACCTGGGCAGTGCTGGGTAAGTCTGCTAGTTAGTTTATATTTAATATCACTATTAGGTTGCCATATTGAGGATATCAATACTGGGCAGGCAAATTTATAGTCTCCATGAAGTGTTCACAAAAACTGAAGAATATGCAACATTTCACTTGTCACTTGCACACCCTCAGATAGTTTGAAAAGCATAATTCCAAGCCTTTCCTAAAAACTGAAAGTTTTGCAAGTCAAACATTTCCTACTTATCTTCATCACAAGATACATTTTGATACATAGTGAAGTGCATGTCTTTGTTCATTTGGTTAGAAAGCTCAAATAACATTCACCACTGACCCTGAACAATTGCACTGATAGCAAGTTCTACTTGCTAAACAATAGTCTTGGGTTCAGAAGTGATGCAAGAATTCTTGGTCTTTGAGATTATATGGAGG